AGGTCCCTATTTCACCGTGGCTTTCGTGGAGTCGCCTTCGAGAGGAACCGGGTCTCGGGCATATACATACATAGAACGAGAGCGGTCGGGTAGCCGAGAGGGAAGCGTTTATCCACACAAAGAAAGACAGACGAACGAGCCAGAGAAGAAATGATAGCGAGAGAAAAGTACAATGGCGAGAAAGTGGCATGAGCAAATAAAAGGTGCAAAGGAGAAGAAAAAAATCAAAATATCATCAAGCCCAAAAAGATACAATACGAGAGCTTATCTTCGTTTCACGCCTCTTTCCGACACTTTCCCTCGATCGTCGCGATTCAACACACAAATTCAAGGAAAATTACATTTTATACCTACGCGCACAAAACCGAGCTGCTATACCTCGTGCGCGCGCAACCGGAAATGATTTATATAGGATTTAGGTTTCCCGAAGGTATGACGTCGCGTTGTACAAGAGAAGAAAAAAAAAGGGTATATAAATAATTTTGAGCAGATTGTGGAAATACGTAAAAACAAACTTTGCAAGGGATCATCCCGTCCTCCCCTTCGTCCAGCCCTTCTCCCCCCCAATAATCGTTTTAACTTAAGCGTCTGGCTTACTAGCCGTGAATTAATCGCAGTAACGTTTCCAAGTGGCCGGGTATACCATCTGTACGGTATACCGGAAGTTGAACGAATATCAGGATGATCGACGATCCTGCGGGATCTTTCGGTTAAAGACGCACAAATACGTGGCTACGTGAAACAACCGGCGCTCGCGTATTTCCAAAACATCGTCGAAACCATAATTCGCGTTGAACCGTCGAAGGCGCGGCGGTTCGCTCGCTTACGTAACTAATTAAAGTTACGGCCACGCGTGCATAACGGTAATTCATTATCGGCTAATTAACACGACTTAACCCGTACTTCCGACACGTGACACGCGACGTTCCCGCTTACGGCGCGCGACGCCCTCCTGCGCGAAATAACGTAAGGAGGGTCAGAGAGTCAGCTGACTCGTTTCGTTACCTCGTATCAAAGGGCAGAAGCCCTTTGGCTCATCGAGCACCGAACGAATACAACGACCCGACAGCACAAGCGATAACCGGCCACACACGATCACCATCACTTCCCTTTGTCGCGACGTTCCCGAAATTGAACGTGAAAAATAGCCCAAAGGCCGCACACGCCTACTGCGTTAAGGAACGGCAGGCAACGTAGGTGCTTGCCACTGGTGGCTGTGTGCTTAGCTAGGTGGTTATAACGCGGGCTCCGGACTTACATTAGAGCCTCAAACTACGGACTTTATATTTAGACCTCTGTGTATGCACTGTGCTTTATTTTCTAAAGTACCTTCGCGCTAACTGCGTTACAGCGGTGCGTGCGTGCACGGCTACGTGGGCGTATACGCCTGTATACCCACATACAAAGTCCCGTCCACATACTGATACAATCCACATAATACATAATATACACAGACACGCGTATATAGAAAACCAGAGAACAGCAGCAGCAGACCGATACCTACACGTGAATACGTGAATCGTTACGTGCTTATGCTCCCATATGATACTAGTCATAACCGTAATGGTCCAAGAGCCGAGTACGATCGTAAGTTCGATCTACAATCAATAGCCGAAATCCGGCGTTAGGTTAATTGATTGCAGTATACCCGGTGAACCGTAAACAGCGATCGATCCTCATTGCCGTTGAGCGGAGCTCGACGTTCATTATGCCCGTTGTAGGTGCCATCCGTATCAGCCATTGACTTTTGATAGGGCCTGTAGTTGAACGTGACTAGGTACGCGATGGTCGTCGCACGTCTCTACGACTCTAAGCATTTCCTAGTACCTAATCTCGAGCGCATATCGGACTACGTTAGTGGAGCCTAGGCCTTACGTGACAGGCGGCCGTGCCCCCCCACTCTGCGCACCGTGCAGTGGATGCTTCGGAGAGAAGGACGAGACAGTCTGACAGGTCAGGTCCGGCGCGGAAGGACCTTTGAGTGGTCCTGTACAGTGTCGTATCCCCATGCGTCTCGCAGTTACCTACTATACATTTCTCTTGGAGCTCAACTCGTCCAGTGCGGAGCGGCGTTCCGGCCGATGCTGTTGCTTCCCGCCACTTGGCTCTCTGAAAGGAATGCTTTCAGTTATGGCACCGGGACGTCAATGCCAGACGTATACCAATTCCGTCTGCGGCATAGCTCGGCATCCTCGTAACCCTTGCACGTGCCACGAGTCATCTTCGATTGATCTGGCGCTTTTACCTGATTCCCCATTATTTAACGAACCCTTGAGATTCGAGTGAACAATAAGTATACGTTAACGAGCAACGCCGACTTCGCGTGGACGCGTAAGCGGCTACTGGGTACATGACTCCCGGGAACGATTCTGGCGTGTATATGCTCCCTGACAGAATCTTGTTTAACGGGTGACCTGTTTGAAAGGCACAAGTACCCCGACCAAACGTAAACATCGGCATGCTGTGGCTGTGCTAACTTTTACGTGGCAAAGACCAAACCACTAACTGGATGTAGCGGACAGGCTAATGGGTATCGATATTCATCGGTTAAGATACCTAGGGAATAATCTAGGGATATTGGCGAAGGGTCCATTATCAATGTTTGTAATCGATTAAGTAAATATATAATTTGCGGATTACATATTTTTGTGCTAGCTACTCGAGATAGATCGTGAATCTAGAGAATTAACGATTACCGCTGTTCCAGCGATTTTTCGAAATTTTTATAACAGAACTTTCACACGTATAATTTCTAATTATTCCTACATACGTTTGTTTATCGGTACCGTACACTGATGATGATCATCGCGTACCGATATACTAATGGCAATGGACCACGGCAGATGGTATCGAAGATACCGATCTTACACTCGTGATAACACACTGCCGATGCTATCTATAATAGATGACATTACCGATCAATGAATTTATCGCTAGACCACCCGGTAGAGAATCCCATTCGCGTACACAATTGGCGACACATATCGTTTCTGTGTATCGCATGCGCCTGATGCCACGTGTGCTATACGTGCATATCGGCGCGCCTGCGTGCCGACTGTACCATGCGAGCTTAAATATCGCCATACAGAACGAATGTCCTCCGTATATGACGCGTATAAAGGCGAATACGTTTATTTATATAGGGATGTATACATAAAAGGGAGAAAAAAGTCGTTTAAAGGCAAATTGATGTTAAGGTAGGGATAAAAGGGAGTTTTTATGTAAACTAATTTATACGAATCGTTTGAATTCCACAAACTTTTGAGCACGTGTGAGAATACTTGGCGCAGACGGTGCTCAGGGGATGAGTGCTCGGAGTCGAGTAGGAGGGCTGTGGGAAAGGGACATAGGTGAACCTGACGCTTGTGCAGAAGAGCCAAGCCAAGAAGGTTCCAAGGCTTATCGGATAGGCTGACGGGAACGAGGGGTGAAGAGGTCGAGAAGAGGGTTCTCCGAGAGTGCTATCAGACCGAGGGGGTTTGTGTCATTAAAAACGTATTTGCTTATCTGAACGGAGGGGTTCCTGGGGGTTGCT